TTCATTTCCATTTCTAAGCCGAAGAACCAGCATTGTCCATAGACACCTCCAAGGCCATGTGGCTGGCATGACTGCATGGAGTGCCATTACCTTCCCACCCTCCGGTACCTATTGATCTACTCACATTTGCATGTTTTCAAACTGCTAGGTTGGCAGAAGCTGGGGCTAACAGGAGGAGCTCATCCTGCTCCCCAGATTCGAACCAGTGATTTTTCAGTCAGCAAGTTCAACAGCTCAGCGGTTTAACCCACTGCGCCACCGGGGGCTCCTCTTTTTTATTATACGCTTATGGAAAATCAAAACCACACTAATATTTCCTCAAACTGATACTATATCCAGGTTTACTAAAAAATAAGTTCCAGGGAGCTGAAAAAGAGTACTTTCTCACGCATTCAAATACATCTCCTGATTTATCTCCACCTCACTATTGTCATCTATCTTGGTGATCTCGAGATGGAAATGCAGGAATCCTGTTTCACTTGTTTATCAGACAAAAATTAATTCAACACCCTTACAATAAGTTAAACTATTTTCATGACCGTGCCTGCAGAATTAAATTTAACAGAAAAATATGTTTTTCCATTCCTGAAATTTCCCTTATTCAGGTTTCCAACACATCAGCATTTCTATAGTAACTAGAGACAAGCCGAAAAACCTTACTGTTTTGCAAAGTATTAAAAGTATCACGCAGCTCCATCAGTTAATGAAAAGAACAACAACAATATTTTTATGGGCGAGTACACTATAAAGTACTAATTCTGACCATGATGTATCACCAAGCGATGAGTAACCTGCACACCATGGTGATGATTAAGGCAAATGAACAGAGGCGCCTTGAAACCCTTTGTAGTACTGACAGTTTCAATGTGGCCAGTTCAAGAATGAAACAGGACACAATTTTTCCCTGTTACAATATGTAACAAAACCTTGGTTTCACTGCAACAGTGGCAGAACTACAAGAACCTCTTCCTGTTGTAATTTCATAGGGGGGAAAAGACACATGGATTGTTACTTTTGCCACATCTCTTTTGGGAAGATTCCTGGTAGTAACATACTACACAGGTCCACCTTTGTAAATAAGTATTTTTAAAAATATTTAAATATACAGCTGTCCCAGTTGTCTGAAAGGGTTTTCCCCTTGAGGTTAACGTATCCACAGTGACAAGATTTGTTCCCTCTGCGAGGCCTGTCAGCACCGTGGCAGCCTCTCACCTTGTGAAGCGCATTCAAGGAATACTCTTGATGCATCCAGACAACAGGGGAAACCCGTCTCCATGATGAAAGGTGACAAGTGGCATGAAATCCTCCCCCTCTCTCTCCTGATCCTATCCCTTCCGCAAATGACTGCAGGCTTACCCTCCACACAACAGAAACTAACAGCCTTTCTGGTTTTCTGGGACAGCTTGCAAATGGAAAAACGGTGTGTATTTTATGAACTGGAAGAGAGAGAAGAGGGAGGAAGGGAAGGGGAGGCCATTGCTTCCTATACTGACTGCATTGGAAATCCTTTATCTATATAAATAAAAATGTAATGTTCGTTTGTGGGATTAACAGAACTCAAAAACCACTGGACGAATTGACACCAAATTTGGACAGCATACACCTAACATCCCAATGTATGTCCTTCACTCAAAAAAAATGATTTTGTCATTTGGGAGTTGTAGTTGCTGGGATTTATAGTACACCTACAATCAAAGAGCACTCTGAACTCCACCAATGATGGAATTGAACCAAATGTGGCATACAGGGTTCCCATGACCCAACAGAAAACACTAGAAGGGTTTGGTGAACATTGACCTTAACTTTGGGAGTTGTAGTTCACCTACATCCAGAGAGCACTGTGGACTCAAACAATAATGGATCTGGACCAAACTTGGTATGAATACTCCATATGCCCAAAGATGGAGTTTGGGGAAAATAGACCTTGACATTTGGGAGTTGTAGTTACTGGGATTTATAGTTCATCTATAATTAAAGAGCATTCTGAACCCTACCAACGACAGAATTGGGGCAAACTTCCCACACAGAACCCCCATACATAAGGCCATCCTGTCCAACTCCCTTCACAAGGGCAAGAAAACATAATCAAAGCCTTCCTGACAAAGAGCCATCCAGCCATAGATATAGATCGATATATATGATTCACACATAGATATGTATATGACAGATATAGTATCATAGACTTGAAAGGGATCCCTAAAGAAGGACAACTATATGTTGCATGTTCCAGAGTAGGCAAACCAGACACTTTCCACATCAACACTGACAAAGAAACAGCAAGAAATACTGTTTACCCACAAGCATAAAGAAATTACATATATTAGAAACCAACACTTTCTCATTCCTTTATTTTCCAGATCACCAGGCTGGGCCACAGCAACACGTGGCAGGGGACAGCTAGTATTCGTCATAATTTTAAAGGCAACTTGAAAGACATTTTTGCGGGTTCATTGTTGAATACATTGTTGGCCGTCTGTATCCATGGATTTCTGAAAATAGGAATTGTCAAAGAGTCTTATTTTCTTTCTGGGGAGAATATATACTGCCATATAAAATACAGATTATCTGCTTTGAGCTGGATTCTATGGCAGTGTAGACTCATATAGGATTATGAGTCTATACTGCCATAGACTCATAATTCAAAGCAGAGAATCTGGATTTTCTGCTTTGATAATCTGAATTATATGACAGTGGAGAAGGGGCCTTAGTCTGCTGCATAGCCAAATTCATTATAGAAAGTCAACCACCTGAGAGATTTCTTCATCTCACAAAATAGGGTCCCTTGCCATGGCGATGAATTAATCTAAGGGCCCTTCCACACAGCCCTATATCCCAGAATCTCAAGGCAGAAAATCCCACAATATCTGCTTTGAACTGTGTTATCTGAGTCCACATTCGGATAATGTGGGATTTTCTGCCTTTATATTCTGGGATATAGGGCTGTGTGGAAGGGCCCTAAGGGTGTTGGGTGGTTTCCGGGCTGTATGGCTGTATGGTGCCCTTTCTTGGCCTGCAGGGGGGAAAAGTTTCAACCCCTCCCGAATGTTTTTCTGGCTACAGGCCTGCTAGAAGGTGTCTGGAGCATCTACAGATTGGGGTATCTGTGGTGAGTGGATACCCAAATCTGTAGATGCTCCAGATCCCTTCAAGACAATGGCTTAGTCAAAGAATAGGACCAAACCCTGGTGGTTACCGAGGACCTACTGTCAATCCTTTCCTGTCCAAACAGGAAAGGGCCTATGGTGCCCTTTCTTGGCCTGCAGGGGGAAAAAGTTTCAATCCCTACCTAATGTTTTTCTGGCTACGGGCCTGCTAGAAGGTGTCTGGAGCATCTACAGATTGGGGTATCTGTGGTGAGTGGATACCCAAATCTGTAGATGCTCCAGATCCCTTCAAGACAATGGCTTAGTCAAAGAATAGGACCAAACCCTGGTGGTTACCGAGGACCTACTGTCAATCCTTTCCTGTCCAAACAGGAAAGGGCCTATGGTGCCCTTTCTTGGCCTGCAGGGGGAATTTCAACCCCTCCCAAATGTTTTTTCTGGCTATGGGCTTGCTAGAAGGCTTCTGGAGCATCTATGGATTGGGGTATCTGTGGTGGGTGGATACCTAAATCCATAGATGCTCCAGATCCCTTCAAGACGAAGAATAGGACCAAACCTTAGTGGTTACAAAGGGCCTACTGTCCTGTATGGACAGGAAAGGACCTATGGTGCCCTTTCTTGGCCTGCAGATACCTTTTTTTTGGGGGGGGGATACCGGCCTGCCAGAAAGTGTCTGGACCATCTACAGATTGGGGTATCTGTGGTGGGTGGATACCCAAATCCATAGATGCTCCAGACACATTCAAGACAATAGCTTAGTCGATGAATAGGACCAAACCTTAGTGGTTACAAAGGGCCTACTGTCCTGTATGGACAGGAAAGGATCTATGGTGTCCTTTCTTGGTCTGCAGATATCTCTGGGGGGGGGGGAGGAGGAGAGTTTCAACCCCTCCTGAATGTTTTTTTCTGGCTATGGGCCTGCTAGAAGGCTTCTGGAGCATCTATGGATTGGGGTATCTGTGGTGGGTGGATACCCAAATCCATAGATGCTCCAGATCCCTTCAAGACGAAGAATAGGACCAAACCTTAGTGGTTACAAAGGGCCTACTGTCCTGTATGGACAGGAAAGGACCTATGGTGCCCTTTCAACTCCTCTCATTTTTTTTTAAAAAAAAATTTTGGCCACAGGCCTGCTAGAAGGTGTCTGGAGCATCTACAGATTGGGGTATCTGTGGTGGGTGGATACTCAAATCCATAGATGCTCCAGATCCCTTCAAGACAATAGCTTAGACGAAGAATAGGACTAAACCTTAGTGGTTACCAAGGGCCTACTGTCAATCCTTTCCTGTCCAAACAGGAAAGGGCCTATGGTGCCCTTTCTTGACCTGCAGGGGGGAAATATTTCAACCCCTCCCTAATGTTTTTCTGACTATTGCCCTGCTAGAAGGTGTCTGGAGCATCTACGGATTGGGGTATCTGTGGTGGGTGGATACTCAAATCCATAGATGCTCCAGATTCCTTCAAGACAATAGCTTAGTCGAAGAATAGGACCAAACCTTGGTGGTTACTGTCAATCCTTTCCTGTCCAAACAGGAAAGGGTCTATGTTGCCCTTTCTTGGCTTGCAGATATCTTGGGGGGGGGGGTAGTTTCAACCCCTCCTGAATGTTTTTTCTGGCTACAGGTGTGCTAGAAGGTGTCTGGAGCATCTACGGATTGGGGTATCTGTGGTGGGTGGATACCCAAATCTGTAGATGCTCCAAATCCCTTCAAGACAATAACTTAGTCCTTGGTGGTTACGAAGGGCCTACTGTCAATCCTTTTCTGTCCAAACAGGAAAGGGTCTCTGGTGCCCTTTCTTGGCTTGCAGTTGGATGACAAACAAACAAAAAAACACCCAAGATTTCCCTTGGATGTGTATGTGGGTGTGTGCATCTTTCTCCCGCCTCCAACCTACCTGTCCCAAAAGCTTTGGCCACCAGCCAGGCGAGATTGCAGGCGATCTTGGCCCGGGCGAAGTCGTAGTGGTCGAAGGGCTTGATGGCTGGGACAATGAAGGTCTTCCGCAGCTCCTTGGCCTCCACAGCATCCCCCATTGTCCTCCCACTTCCCTCAGGAGAGAGAGAGATCTATAGATAGAGCTGTTTCCCCGCAAAATAGCCTATTTTACATGATGCCAGGCCCAAAGAATGCCCAGATTCGCCTGAATGGAAGAGGAATCCCCTCAGCACAGGAATGTGTCCTCTTTGAGTCCTTCCTCCCTTTCTCCAGGCGCTTTGTCTCGCTTGGCTTTCCAAGAAAACAAAACGCGGTCTTTCCTGACAGCTCCTTCCTTTCCTGCCTTCCCAAACCCTGAAGGGAGGCGGCTGGGCTTTTCCTGCAGGAGCCAAGGCGGGGAGACGTCCCAGCTCTCCAGACCGGCTCCCCGGGCGAAACCAACGCCGCTCGCGGGGGTGGCGCTGGCTCCTCCTCTGCTGCTTCTCCTAGGCTTCGGCTCCCACTGAGCCTCCTCCTCCCCCTCTTTTTCAACTTGGTCTCTTCCACGGCTCTCCTCCTTTCCTTCTCGCGCCTGCCGCACTGGACTGGGAACACAGGAGCAGGGGCAGCCGGCGCAAAGGGCGCATGCGCACGCTTGGCTTGGGCTCCCCCCTATCGCGAGCGGCGTTTTGGGAGGAGCCGCCCGGGAAGAGGAGGCGGTGGGCGCGGTGGGCGAAACCAAAGGAAAAGGAAAGGGGGAGTCAGGGTAGTCGTTTCCTCTCGGCAGTGCCATAGGCGCCTAGGGAAAGCATCACCATCATCATCATCACCATCCGACAGCGAGGTGGGACAAGATGGGAAGCCCGTCTAGAGCCGATGCGTCAGAAGGGACGCCGCTTTCATTTTCCTGGGATTTGTATGTTATTATATATTTATCCGGTGGTTGTGTTTTTTAGGCTGTACGGCCATGCTCCAGTAGCATTCTCTCCTGACGTTTCGCCTGCATCTATGCGGGCATCTTCGGAGGTTTGTTTAGATACTTTGATTGTGCTTTTCCTGCATGGCAAGGGGTTAGATTAAATGTCCCATGAGGTCTCTTCCAACTCTATTATTCTATGATTCTAAGAGATCTGGCAATGGTATTCCTTCTAATCAAGGTGAAAGACAAAAGTGCAGAAGCCGGGTTGCAGCTAAACATCAAAAAACCAAGATTATGGCAACCAGACTGATTGATAACTGGCAAATAGAGGGAGAAAACGTGGAGGCAGTGACTGATTTTGTATTTCTAGGTGCAAAGATTACTGCAGAAACAGACTGCAGCCAGGAAATCAGGAGATGCTTACTTCTTGGGAGGAGAGCAATGACCAATCTCAATAAAATAGTGAAGAGTAGAGACATCACACTGGCAATGAAGATCCACATAGTTAAAGCAATGGTATTCCCCATAGTCACCTATGGATTTGAGAACTGGGCCATAAGGAAGGCTGAGCAAAGGAAGATAGATGCTTTTGAACTCTGGTGTTGGAGGAAAATTCTGAGAGTGCCTTGGACCACGAGAAGATCCAACCAGTCCATACTTCAGGAAATAAAGCCTGACTGCTCATTAGAGGGAAGAATGGTAGAGGCCAAGATGAAGTACTTTGGCCACATCATGAGAAGAAAGGAAAGCTTAGAGAAGACAATGATGCTGTGGGAAATGGAAGGAAAAAGGAAGAGGGGGCGACCAAGGGCAAGATGGATGGATGGTATCCTTGAAGTGACTGGATTGATCTTGAAGGAGCTGGGGGTGGTGACAACCATCAGGGTGCTCTGGCGTGGGCTGATCCATGAGGTCACGAAGAGTCGGAAACAATCTATCCTCCAGCAAGGGTTGTATACTCTCCCCCAACCTATTCAACTTGTATGCAGAACCCGTCATGCAATGTGCGGGGCTTCAGGAATGCAAGGCTGGGGTGAAAATTGCTGGAAGAAATATTAACAACCTTAGATATGCAGATGATACCACTTTGATGGCCAAAGCGAGGAGGAGCTGAGGAGCCTTCTAATCAACGTGAAAGAAAAAAGTGCAAAAGCTGGGTTGCAGTTAAATATCAAAAAACCAAGACTATGGCAACCAGACTGGTTGATAACTAGCAAACAGAGAGAGAGAAAATGTGGAGGCAGTGGCTGACTTTGTATTTCTAGGTGCAAAGATTACTGCAGATGCAGACTGCAGCCAGGAAATCAGGAGACGTTTACTTCTTGGGAGGAGAGCAATGGCCAATCTCAATAAAATAGTGAAGAGTAGAGACATCACACTGGCAACCAAGATCCACATAGTTAAAGCAATGGTATTCCCCAGAGTAACTTATGGATGTGAGAGCTGGACCATAGGGAAGGCTGAGCGAAGGAAGATGGATGCTTTTGAACTGTGGTGCTGGAGGAAAGTTCTGAGAGTGCCTTGGACTGTGAGAAAATCCAACCAGTCCATACTTCAGGAAATGAAGCCTGACTGCTCATTAGGGAAGGATATTAGAGGCAAAGATGAAGTACTTTGACCACATCATGGGAAGACAGGAAAGCTTAGAGAAGACAATGATGCAGGGGAAAATGGAAGGAAAAAGGAAGAGGGGCCGACCAAGGGCAAGATGGATGGATGGTATCCTTGAAGTGACTGGCTTGACTCTGAAGGAGCTGGGGGAGGTAGCGGCCAACAGGGAGCTCTGGGGTAGTCTGGTCCATGAGGTCATGAAGAGTCGGAAGAAACTGAACAAATAAACAACAATCTATCGGAAATGAGACAAGTGGAGTGTATTTACTCTTGTGGCTTGTTCTTGGTCTTGCAGCTCTCCCTTGTCTGTTTGAAGCAAGTGTGAATGTTTCAGTTAGCAAGCTTGATTAGCATTGAGTAAGTGGCCTTGCATCTTCCATGCAGGAAAAGCACAATCCCAGTATATGCACAAACATATACAGGTGAAACGTCAGGAGAGAATGCTGCTGGAGCATAGCCATACAGACTGAAAAACACAGTGATGTTTTAGCTGTTGTTGCCTGGAGGAACCCTTTGTTTGGGAGGTGTTAACTGGCACTAAATTGATGACAATCTGGAATTTCCCTGTTTTCTGAGTGATGTTCTTTATTTATTGTTATAATTTTAGAGTTTTATTAATACTGGTAGCCACATTTTGTTCATTTTCATGGTTTCCTCCTTTCTGTTGAAATTGTCCACATACTTGTGGATTTCAGTGGTTTCTCTGTGTAGTCTGACATGATGGTTGTCAGAGTGGTTCTATGTTCTCAAATGGTATGCTGTGTCCAGGTTGGTTCATCAGGTGCTCTGCTATGGCTGACTTCTCTGTTTGAAGTAGTCTGCAGTGCCTTTCATGTTCCTTGATTCGTGTTTGGGTGCTGCGTTTGGTGGTCCTTATGTAGACTTGTCCACAGCTGTATGGTATATGGTAGACTCCTGCAGAAGTGAGAGGATCCCTCTTGTCCTTTGCTGAATGTAGCATTTGTTGGATTTTCTTGGTGGGCTTGTAGATTGTTTGTAGGTTGTGTTTCTTCATCAGCTTCCCTATGTGGTCAGTGTTTCCCTTGATGTATAATAAGAACACTTTTCCTCTGCGTGGGTCTTTGTCTTTACTCTTGTGGCTTGTTCTTGGTCTTGCAGCTCTCCTGATGTCTGTTGTAGGGTACCCATTGGCCTGTAGATCTTAGAAATAAGATCTAAAGATCCAACAAGAGAATCCAACAAATGCTACATTCAGCAAAGGACAAGAGGGATCCTCTCACCTCTACAGGAGGAGCCCCCGGTGGCTCAATGGGTTAAAACCTTGTGCCGAAATGACTGCTGACCAACAGGTTGGAGGTTCGAATCCAGGGACAGCAGATTGAGCTTCCTCTGTCAGCCCCAGCTCCCCATGTGGGTACATGAGATAAGCCTCCCACAAGAATGGTAAAACATCAAACATCCAGGCGTCCCCTGGGCAACATCCTTGCAGACGGCCAATTCTCTCACACAAGAAGTTACTTGCAATTTCTCAAGTTGCTCCTGACATGGAAAAAAAAACCCTCTGCAGGAGTCTACTGTATACCATGCAGCTGTGGACAAGTCTACAAACGTAGTACTCAAACCCAAATCAAGGAACATGAAAGGCACTGCAGACTAATTCAACCAGAGAAGTCAGCCATAGCAGAACACCTGAGGAATCAACCTGGACACAGCATATTATTTGAGAACACAGAAATGCTGGACCACTCTAACAACCAACATGTCAGACTACACAGAGAAGCCATTGAAATCCACAAGCATGTGGACAATTTCAACAGAAAGGAGGAAACCATGAAAATGAACAAAATCTGGCTACCAGTATTAAAAAAATACAAACACCAGAATCAAGACAGCACATAAAGAACACAGTTCAGAAACTGGGGAATTGCAGGCAGCAAACAATCAAGTGTCAGTTAACACCTCCCAAACAAATGATGTCCCCAAGTAGCAGTAGCTAGGCTTTGCAGTTGCAAGGCTACTCAATGCTAATCAAGCTGGCCAATTGCAACATTCACACATTCAAATATACAAGCATTCTTTTCTCTCCGCCTGGACATTCGACAAATATATCTATATATATAAAAATGTAATGTTTGTTTGTGGGATTAACATCACTCAAAAACCACTGGATGAATTGACACCAAATTTGGACAGAATACGCCTAACAACCCAATATATGTCCTTCACTCAAAAAAAAAACTGATTTTGTCATTTGGGAGTTATAGTTGCTGGGATTTATAGCTCACCTACAATCAAAGAGCATTCTGAACTCCACCAATTATGGCATTGAACCAAACTTGGCACACAGTTCTCCCATGACCAACAGAAAATGCTGGAAGGGTTTGGTTTTGGAGTTGTAGTTCACCTACATCCAGCGATCACTGTGGACTCAAACAATTATGGATCTGGACCAAACTACACATATACTCAATATGCCCAAATGTGAACACTGGTGGAGTTTGGGGAAAATAGAATCTTGACATTTGGGAGTTGTAGTTGCTGGGATTTATAGTTCACCTACAATCACAGAGCATTCTGAACCCCATCAACGATAGAATTGGGCCAAACCTACTACACAGAATTCTCATGTGGGCCACAGCAACGTGTGGCGGGGACGGCTAGTATCTATATAAATAAAAATGTAATGTTCATTTGTGGGATTAACATAACTCAAAAACCACAGGAGGAAATGACACTAAATTTGGCCAGAAGACACCTAACAGACCAACAAGTGACCATCACTCATTAAAATACTGAAAAACACAATGTAAAGGACTTAAAAACCCCAAACCCCTAAATGATAATACAGTGCATGCGTGAAAACAACTCTCCTGACTCCGCCCCTCCTCTTAAAGCTGGCCATACCAGAAGTAAGAAAGGAGATAAAGATGAAGGGAAATAAAAAGTGAGGAAGGAAGGAAGGAAGGA